AAAATAGCCAGGCGTTGTGGTGGGTGCCTGTAGTCTCAGCTTCTTGGGAGGCTGAGGCAAGAGAATTGCTTAAGCCCAAGAATTTGAGTTGCTGTGTGCTGTGAGCTGTGATGTCATAGCACTCTACTGAGGGTGACATAGTGAGACTCTGTCTCAAAAAAAAAAAATGCTTACTGTGCTTTGGATTTCTTTCAAAAATAACTTAATTAGTGCTCTTTAGGCTGGGCAGCACGGTGGCTCATGGCTGTAATCCTAGTACTCTGGGAGGCTGAGGCACTCCGGATTGCTTGAGTTCAGGAGTTTGAGGCCACTGTGAGCAAGAGCAAGATGCCTGTCTCTGCTAAAAATAGAAAAACTAGCCCCATCTTTACTAAAAATAGAAAAACTAGCCAGGTGTCATGGCAGGTGCCTGTAGTCCCATCTAGTTGGGAGGCTGAGGGAAGAGGATCACTTGAGCCCAAGAGACTGAGATTACCGTGAGCTATGATGATGCCATAGCACTCTACCCAGGGTGAAAGTGAGACTCTGTCTCAAAAAAAAAAAAAAAATCTTTAAAATTTTCAGGGCATGCCTAAGATCCTCTCATGGCACACTGGTTGAAAATCACTGCTCTTGGGGGTTTACACAGATAGGGATGTGGCCATGTGGAGGGTGACACAGATTGGGATGTGGACATAGCTGAGGTCACACAAGCCCAGCTGCAGATATTCTCTGGGTCACACAGATTGGGGCATGAATGTTCCTTGAGTAACAAAGATTATGGAAGGGACATGTCCCAGAGACTCAGTGTAGACTCACACTTTTAGACTCACATTGACTGGATTAGGAACATTCCTGGAGTCACAGAGACTGCATTGTGGACATTGTTTGGGTCATACTTGCTTGTGTATAGACACTGCTCTGTACATCCCAATAGGTATGGGTACTCTTCTGGTCATACTGCCTGGGGAATTGACTCTACACTGGAGTATGGAGACTCCTTTGGTCACATAGATGGGGATGTGTCCTTTCCTGGATCACTCAAACTGGACTGTAGACCCACCAGTAGTCATCAGCACTGAAGTTTCACACTCTGGCAACATTGACAGAGGAGTAGATAGCCTCCTGGTCACAGATGGGGTAGTACACCCTCCAGAGACCATCAACACTGGAGTGTAGACACACCTATGGCCAGAGACTAAGGGTTTGCATGACACTGGGGTCTCATATACTGGAAATTGGACATTCTTTTATTCTTTCTTTCTTTCTTTTTTTTTTTTTTTTT